GAACAGCGCATACCACATCCAGACAGTGAAGATAAATCTCCTTGGAATGTTTTCAAACAGGACATAGACAGGGAAGAAGCATGTCTTGCTTAAAGTGTCATTAAGCCTTCCTTCTTTTTCTTTGTATATAAGGTAGGCACAGATCGTGTCCACAACTGTTCTCATTTTTTTTTTAATGTTTAAATTCCGTATTTTCTACGTCCTGCAAGAGTGAAGCCAGCAGCTAAGCATCTGCTATGGAGGCACCGATGCGTGTGTTCCCACAGTGGCTGTGTGAGCCCATAGACACGCACAGCCACACTTAACTTTATTGCTATCACATAGGGGAAAAAAATGCCACCTATGTGATAGCCAATATACAGTGACTGGTCCTCTTTATGTAGCTCTGTAGTGACAGGTCCTCTTTAAGACCCCTAATGTCACCTAGGGACCCCCAAGAAATGACAGCTGAATATGGAAGTGATGTAATATGCTTCACTTCCTGCATTCAGAGAACGGCGGGGAGATCAAAGAGAGATTGTGTACTGATCTTCCGTGACAGAGTTGTTATGCCAGTCCCGAGCCCACACCAGGCACAGCGGAGCTCAGTATCACCAGCGGCAGGGGGCCGCACACCTGCATGCATAATACAAGCGATCAAGATTTAAAAACGCCCACCCGCATTCAAGAATCCACAGTCCGGCCGTTTAATTTCAACGCACGGGCAGCAGGAGGTTAAATTGTTTAACCTTGGGTTAGGGTTTTAAGCATTAAAATTTCTTCTAGCTTCTATTTCTTTGAAATGTTAGGAGGGGCTGTGAGGGGTAAGGGTACCCTTGCCCATTGTATGTTAATGATGCTTATCAGATAAAAATAATCCTTAAATTTCAGTCCCAAGTCTTCCTATAAGGATTGACCACTGTGAAAGGGCTAAGAAAAACCTGGGATCTGTCATCTTGCCCGATTTAACAAAACATCTAAAAAAGGTAAGAAGGTTTTTAAAAAGAGTTATTTTTCAGTATGCTGTGTGAATAGGAACACAACACGAACATATGGAGCGGTTTTCTCAAATTTGACTGCAAAAGTGAAAATACACTTTAAAGCACACCCAGGCTTCCAGATAGGGCATTAGTTCTGACTTAGTGCAGCAGCTCATACTGTGGTTCTGGTAGTCAACCATAAAGAATGTTTGGCCTTTGAGCAGGCATAGACTCTAATAGGTCTTCAGGGACAGGGTTCCACTGGCTGTTTTATCATGGCCATGGACCACTATAGTACCCTACGGCTAACTCAAGGCGTTGCACCATGTGCATAGGTGAGCGCCTAATGCAGGATCCAGATCCCAAAATAACATTGCAGGCCGACCCCACATCTTCTAGGTGGGGTCCAGGTGCAATCTCCCCAAGGAAGAGTCAAGAGGTAACTGATCCAGAAGCTGTGGAAATGAGCTGCAGCAGCTATGTAGCAACTACATAGCTGCTACATAGCTGAGAGAAAACTTGCTAGAAACAAAAATCCTGAGAAAATTAAGAAAGAAAAAAAGTTAGCTTCTCTCAGACAAGTGAGATTTCCTACAAAACACTAGTAAAAAAACTGAAGCATGCTGGATGTGGGGAGGGTTTACAGGGCTGTCCTCACTAGGGCTGCAACAACTAATCGACATAATCGATTATAATCGATTATTGAAAAAGTTGTCAACTTTTTCAATAATCGATTAATCGGCTTCCGATCAGTTCCTGCCCTGTTCACAGTTCCGGCCCTGTTCACGGCTCCACACACACGCTGCGCGCCGCACCTCCTCCCCAAATCACACTCATCGCTGCCAGACCCACATCCACGCTTTACACGACGCACCTCCTTCCTGCCTCACGCTCACCGCCCGCCCACATCCACAGGGACGCGGGGAGATGTAGTAAGGAGGAGCAGGTGTGGGGGGATGACAGCCGTCGACAGACAGACCCGATCTCAGAAGCAAGTTGCTGGAAGACTGCTCAGGTAAGCCTGCACTTTCCCCCACATGGTGCTCTATAATGTATTGCTGGGATTTGTAGTCCTCTATAGCTGATGGTACATTGTGCTGTATATTATACATAGGACTACAAATCCCAGCAATACATTATACACTGTATGTATAATGTACTATTGCTGGGATTTGTTGTACTCCTCTATAGCTGGTGCTATACTGCGCTGTATAGAGGACTACAAATCCCAGCAATAATACATTATACAGCACCATGCGGAATTCCACCAGCTATAGAGGAGCACAACAAATCCCAGCAATAGTACATTATACAGTGGTGCAATGCCGAATACCACCAGCTATAGAGGACTACAAAACCCAGCAACAGTACATTATACAGCGCAATGCAGAATACCGCCAGCTATAATGTACTATTGCTGGGATTTGTTGTACTCCTCTATAGTTGGTTATATTCTGCATTGCGCTGTATAATGTACTATTGCTGGGATTTGTAGTCCTCTATAGCCGGTGCCATTCTGCATTCATTGCTGTATAATTTTACACTTTCCATTTCACTATATTGCACACCACACTATTTTTTTTCTTTTTTACTTCCACCGCTCCAAGCTTGCTCCTGTGATGGACTACAACCTCAATACAAACTAGTAGTCCCATCACTGGAGCCATTTTTTAAAATGTATTTTATTGTTTATCCGATTAACCGATTAATCGAACTTAATAATCGGCTAACTAATCGATTTTGAAAATAATAGTTAGCTGCAGCTCTAGTCCTCACAGCTTTGCCTTGCCAGTTTCCATCTGTCTAAAGGCAGCTGCATAAACCAAGGTTCCAGAATGAAATTCTGTGTCCTGTAATGTACAATTAGGAAAGGAGAAATTATAAGAGGGAACCCAATATTAATGTAAAATAAACAATACTGGGTTTTTTTAAATCAAAAATGAAATAAATATCTATTAAAAATTGTTCAAGGATTACCTTTGAGGTCTTTTCATTAAACATGTTAGTCGTTATTAGGTCAGCCACTAGACAACGCAAGTTGAAGATAGTGAAAGGACATTTATATCTTATCGATCTGATGCTACACAAGCTGCTTGGACCAAGGCCACCAGTGACCTTGCATCTCTTGTACATTCAAGGGCACAAAACAAATTATTTTTTACGAAGGCTGATTCTGGGCTGATGGAGATGCCTAGGGTAGGCTTCTGGCTCAGATTGGTCGCTGTAAGAGTCGAGTGCCATCTGCACATGCGCCAACAGCACGTAGCCTCATGAACCGGAACACATCTGCGCCAACTGCGCATGCGCCAATAGCGCATCTTTGTGCCAACCCGCGCATGCGCAGACGGCACGATTCAGCAAGGCGGGAAATCGCCAAGGAGGCGCACAGGAAGTGACCTAAACCTCAATTATCACTTCCCCTATTTAAGCCCAGCTTGGACACTGCCAAATTGCTGCATTATCTTCAGTCTCTCCTTGTTCCTGTGCTGTGTGTTATCTGTTTGGACTTGTTTTGACCCGGAACCCTAGTGACTACTCTTGCCTGCTTCCTGCCCTTGACTTCGGATTCGTATACTGACCATTCTTCTGCCTTGCCCTATTGTACTTTGGTGCCTGATTGGAACCGACCCCGGCTTGGAACTTGACCATTCTTCTGCTTTGCCCTTTTGTACTTCGTTGCCAGATTGGACTTGACCCCGGCTCGGACTTTGGATTGAGGCTTGCACGGTGCTCCACACCACCGGCACTCGTGCCACTCGGTGTCCGCCAGGTCTCTGTATAGATCCCCAGAGGCCTCAAGACCGGAGGTGCAAGGGAGGCCTCTTCACTACTACAGTCTCACCTCAGGTACGTGGCAGTCGCTCTCAATAAGCATCATCCCATATTGGGTCCATTATGGACTCTTCGGGCTCTCTTTGTACAGATAATCAACATATACTGAATGTCTTTTCTCAATTCTATGCATCACTGTATACCTCTAAAGCAACATATTCTGATGTTGACCTAGCAAGGTATCGCTCAGGTATAACTCTGGCTACCTTAGATGCGGCAGATGCCTTGGACCTAAAGGCCACTATTACTATCCAGGAGATTGAACAAGCACTTGCTAGTTTTCCAAATGGCAAGGTCCCTGGTCCTGATGGGTTGCCAATATAGGTCTATAAGAATTATAGACAGACAATCTATCCTGCCTCTTTTACTGCAAACTCTCAATGGAGCACTAGACTTGGGATGCCTCCCAAGCACTATGTATGAGTCCACTATTATTGTGCTTCCTAAAAAAACATGAAGACCCCCTCCAAACAGAATCCTATAGACCGATTTCACTGTTGAACAATTACGTTAAAATTCTAGCTAAGGTGCTGGCTAACAAATTGTCTAAGAAAATCTCATCTATTGTGTATCCAGATCAATCTGGTTTTCTACCTAAGAAATCCACTACTATTAACCTACGCATATCTGAACATGCAAGTACCTATAGACATTACTGGTAATAGAGCATTTCTGGCATGAGATAGTGTTGAATGGAGATACTTATGGGCCATTTTATCCGTATTTGGGCCTTGATTTGGTGCTTGGATACGTTTTCTATATCACACTCCCTCCGCTAAGATTAGGGTTAACAATGCCTTCTCCTCTGGCTTCTGTTTACAGAGGGGCACCAGACAAGGTTCCCCGCTTTCTCCACTACTGTTTGCATTGGCCTTTGAACCTTTATCTGCCATAATTAGACAGTCTCCAAATATTATAGGTTTTAAAAGTGGTTCGAAAGATAAACTCGCACTATATGCTGTTGACACCTTGCTTTTCTTGGCAGACACTCAGTCTTCCTTGCATAGTGTTATGGTACATCTGTCGGATTTTGCTATATATTCTGGTCTTTTAGTAAACTGGGACAAATCTAATATACTTCTTATAGACCCTTTACCAAACCCAAATTATATGTAGGACGCACCTCTAGAGCCCTACGGACCAGGTTTAGTGAGCATAAGAGGAATATTTTAAACAAAGTAGAAGATCATTCGCTACCAATACATTTCCTTAGGTTCCACAATCATAGTCCAGAGGGTTTGAGGGTGTTTGGCATCGAGTTGATTTCCTCAGATCTAGATGAGGGGAATAGATTCAAGAGATTATGCCTTAGAGAGGCATTCTGGATTTATTCCTTAAATAGCCTTTTTCCGATGGGACTCAATGAGGGGTTAGAATTAGCAACAGCATTGTAATTTTACACCCTTGCTAACCTTCATCCAATCTTACATTTCTTTTTTCTTAATGTTATTATCTATGTTTAATATTAATATTTTTTCAACATACATTATTTCCAGTGGTTATATACATTTATTCATCATCCTATATTCATTCCATTTTTTTTTATATACATTTATCTAATTGTTTTATTATCCATTCACATGTTAGTCTCCATTTTGCACATATTTCCTTTTAGTTTTCAGATTGGGTCTTGGACCCTCAGTTACGTTTTTAATGGGGCAGTGCTAGTCCTTGGATTCCTATTATTCATTATACAGTTTTATTACACTGATTTTTTCCCCATGTGTGTAAAACTTTGTCCAAGCATATGTCCCTTTAAGGTAATTTCCCATCATTGATGCATTTTGAGTGTTATTCTTATCATGATATATTCACTATGTGTGTTTTTATTTTTAAGTGTCTGTTTTGTATCATTCATCTATACTATGGGGGTTTATTTTATTATGTATACATTGTTTCTCTTGTTGCCAGTTCCATCCCTTGCAGAGGCCGTCTTGTCATTTAAATGACACATTCTGTTCCCCACTTGTCAGCTTGGGGCAGTGCGGACATGGCATGGTGGTCTGTCCTTTGCCTACACTGCCACAACCCGCTTCGCTGTCCGCTTTTTTCTTTTGCCGACAGGGGATACAAAATGTGGAGGCATGTTGCTATCCTCCTCCAGTTCCAAGTTTTTCAGGCAATGTGGCCTGTGGTGGATACTGAGGATTTTTTTTCATGCCGGCTACCCATTGATGGTTTTCGGGCCTGTTCACACGATGTCCGTTTTGTGTGCTGACCGGCTACGTACGCTGCTGCACTCAAAATGCATCCCAATGTATCCCTATGTGTTTTATGGGCTCCAGTTCTCACGTGCGCAGTCCGTTCAGCTTACGACAGAAAAAATACTGCATGTCACATTTTGTCAGGTCCGGAAACGGTCAGGAAACGCAAACGCGTCCAAAACGCGGCAAAAACGCACTGCAGCTAACATACTAACAGCCCCACTCCAGCCAAAAAAAAAAATATATATTATTTTTTTTTTACTTGTACGCATCAAAAACGCGGCCAAAACGCACTGCATCAGTATGCAGATCCGCACCTGATCAGGACCTGATCATGTGAACAGGCCCTTCAGCTGGTGTTGTTTAGACGAGTCTGCAGCAATGACCTGACGATTAGAGATTGGTTTTACGGTCCTATGTGACCAGCTTAGTGGATGACCGTGATTGGTCAACTTCTAAGACTTAAGAGCAGGGTGTTCCATAGGTTCTGATGAAAGGGGCGTTGCCTCAGAAATATGTAAACCCGTGGAATACTTGGGGGCAGCAGACTCTGGTTTAACATCAATACTCCAGCTCGCCTTTGTTCATGATTTAGTTTACCCATCCTCGTTACATGCCTGTTCTCTACAGTTGTTTGTAAGTAAGCCCTAGCTGTGTGCCTTTTTTTTATTAAATATGGTTTTACACTATGGAGGCGCTCCTTTTTGCTTTATCTTTACCAAACCCATTGACAGCTGATTTGTCTTGTATCCCCATATGCTCCTGAATTATAGTATATCTTGCTCAATTTGGTTCCCCCCTAAAATGTTTTTTAGGGGGGGAACCAGTATTTTTAGGGACCTTATTTGTAAACGAAAGCAGGCCCGACCGAAATTGGTGACCCTACAACAGGGTCGCCCATTAGGTCGATCGCGATCTACCAGTCGATCGCAAAGTGGACACTGGTAGATCGCGATAAGCTGCGTCCTGTCCTCCCGCCGTGGAGCTTTTCCTCTGGATCCCCGCTGCTCTCCCCATCTGTATGCAGCGGGGATCTGAGGAGAAGTGAAGGAAGCGCTTCGGCCGCAGGGGGGCGGAGGAGGGAGCAGCTGTCACAGCAGCATGGCCGAGCAGTGAGGAGACGGAGACGCTCGGCCAGGATCTCACACCCGATGGCTCTCCTCACCGCTCGGCCATGCTGCTGTGACAGCGGCTCCCTCCTCCGCCCCCTTCCCCCTGCCGGCTCTAGGGCTTCCTTCACTTCTCCTCAAAACCCCACTGCATACAGACAGGGGAGAGCAGCGGGGATCCAGAGGAAAACCTGCGGGCTGAGCCCCCCTCTGTGCCTGGCCGAGCGGCAGAGGATCGGTACATATCAGTGATATGTTCCGATCCTCTGTGCAGAGCAAACGCTGGAGCAATCAGCTGATCACTCCAGTGTTTGTAAATAACTATGGACACATAGTACTATGTGTCCCCAGTTATGAAAGTGCTTTACATCACTTCCTGTTCATTAATGCGTTTCTCAATGGGGAGTAGCACTCTGTACAAATTTTTGCAGATCGCACTGGGCCGGAACGCAGGCACTAATGTGCCATTGACTTCAATGCACTGCCACGCCCCCTCCCACCCCTGAATGTAGGTTTTTTTAATTGGTAGATCTCATTGAGTTTGTCATTTGAAAAGTAGATCTCCAGATAAAACTTGTGGGCGCCATGCCATACAAAGACCTAAGGATTTGGGAGGATTAACTCTCCCTAAACCTTGGCTTTAATTTCTTGCCTCCTAATTATATAATTTCTCTGGCTGGGGGTGCGAGGCGATGCATGCACAATTGTTTCGTTCTCTTCAGTATCTTTTTGATGGCTATGACCCTTTGGAGATGGACTTGTCCTGTAAAAAGTTTTCCCATCTTGCCACATTCGTTTTATTGGGACGTGTATGGGAGACGGCTAAACGACGCCTACATACTTTGGGGCATACTAGATTTACTCCAATTTGCAACAATGGTAGGCTTCCAGAGCTCCTCATACTGCAGGGTTTCAGGAATTGGTGGCGGGCGGGGTGCATAAAGTCACTCAGATGTATGATGATAAAATCCTTTGTTCCTTCCAACAACTGCAATCCCAATTTGGATAGCCTCCAACAGCCTTTTATCAATATTTGCAACTCAGACATTCTCTGACTTTCCAATTTGGTAGCGCCTCTCCACACGGATACCCTTGTTGCCGCCTGCAATACTAAAGGGTATTATTTCTCATCTATATATCTGCCTATTAACCAACTCAACACTACAATCCCCTTTGAGTGTCAGGAGTAAGTGGGAGAATGACCTAGGCCCTATTACAGACGACGACTGGAGGGGTGCTGTGAGTGGTGTTCTCTCTGTGTCTTTGTCCACGTCTCATAGAACGAATCTGAATTGTTTATAAACTTACTCTTATAACTTATTATACCTCATTCATATTTTAGTGTCATCTTTCTTTGTTTATTCATGCAGAGTCACATTTTATAGAGATGGTCTTATCAACTTATTTATTTGCCATACAATCTTGCTACAATTTCTTACAGGTTTTAAGTGTTGCCAGCACTATCTACTTTATTAATTGTATTGGCTTTGAAAATGTATTTATTTCTGTTTGTCATCTAGTTGTCATATATTGCTATTTCACAATTTTCTTCATCTCGTTCCTATTATTCTTACTATTTTAATATCTGTGGACAAGAATTAGTGTAGTTCTTTCTCCAAAGGATTGTACTAATGATCATGCAGTCCAAATTATTATTATTATTAAAGTGACATTAAACCCTCAGATTTTTTAACATAAAACACTACTGTAATGTGTGCCTTACGTAATCCATGGTTGTTTCCCTTCTCTTTGCTGCTCTTCCTTTTAAATCTGTATCTGTTCTCATGCTGGACAGAACTTCTATTTTGCAGCAGACTACCTTGTCTCTGAAAGGGATACATGGTGTCTGTGTGTTGGTTTGAAACCTGAGCCAGCACTACAGGAAGAGGCAACCAGCTGCAAAAGGGAAGTTCCCCCCAAGCATGAGAAGACATGAGGATTTAAAAGGAAGAGCAGCAAAGAGAAGGGAAACAGCCATGGATTACAGTAAGGTACACATTACAGTATTGGTTTATGTTAAAAAATCTGAGGGTTTAATGTCACTTTAAGTCAATTGTAATAGAACTTTTATCCAGCCCATTGCAATTCAAGCCAGATATCCCTGAATATATACCAATTACCAGTAGTCTGTCATTTTTGTTATCCTTTTGTTATCCCTTTATTGATTACCCTCATCTTCCAACAATTTCTGACTGGATATTTTTGATGAAAAAAATATTATTTATTTTACTTAATTTTTGGGTTCCCTCTTCTTTTGCCAATATCATTTTTCCAAAAACGTTTTCTTAGGCCTCATTCACACTGCCGCGCATACGTGCGTATTGTACCATATGCAACATATGCAAATAGCTCCATACACATAGCCGCGTATGGAGCCGTATATTTACTTAGCGTAAAAATGCGCAAAAACAGAATGGAACAGAGATGCGTCCGGGCAGAGTATTTCCGCATATTTTACGCACATACGCATGTTTACGCAGATATAAGCGCGTATACAGTTCATTCAATTTCTATTAGGAATGATGCACCCTGGGAATGCAAATAGTGCACGCATATACGCACATATATACGCGCATATACGCAATATACAATTTTGCTCTTGCGTTGTGTGTGAATGAGGCCTTACACATGGATTTACAAACACTTATTTTCATTAGAAAGCCTGTCTGTCTACAAGTATTTTCCTGTTGTGGCTTGTAATTTGTGCCCCCAGTTGTTTATAGAAGTATAGTTGTCTCTGTAAGGTTTGAAAAATGGTAGATCCTGAAACATATTGTCTAAAGACCAGACCTTGAAGAAGACACCAGAGCCTTGATACACAGGCACGAGGATTCTGCTGCAACACTTTCAGGTGGGTGCCTTGCTCTGCCTTACCAGTGCCTTCTCAGTTTTCAGAGGAATCCCACCTAGACTACAGCCTGACCCCTGGCCAAAACAGGTCTAGTATACATCTGCCAGAGGCTGCAACAGAGCCAGTCATCTCTACCTCTTGTAAGTGCAAAATTGTTTTTAAGCCTATGATCATGGTGTTTTCTCAGTTGATGCACTAGTGATGCACCCAATGTAATTTCCTTACGTATCTCTACATATGTGGTTTTCCCTGCCATGTTTTACATTGGTGCGGCCATACTACTGTTAAGCTCATATGGACCTTTCACTTACTAACTGCTGGTGGTTATCAAGCTTGCTGGGACCCGATATATAGAGCCATAAGACCTTGGAGTAGTGGATGCACATTTGAACTTTGTATGTGTTTTTTGTAGGGCTACAGTGCCTCAGCTGGACAGAAAGTTAAGTACTGTAACATTTTAGTACCAAGTACTACCAACACAATACCTCAGTACCATCAACTAGACTTTAACCTTTATGAAATTAATTTACCACTTTTAACAAGAAAATGGTATATCAATGAGCTGATGAGCCAAACAACTGGGTTGCCTCACTCCCTGGCAAAACTGTTTTAATGCTGTTATACAGCGAGCTGCAGGATTTCTCATAAGTGTTTAACCTTTTTTTGGGGGATATACTTTGGTAGAACCCCTAAAGTACGGTTAAAGGTTGCCATCCTGCAGTAAAGGTCAACTATTGAGAAAAAATGTTCTTACCTTTATAAATATTCAAAGTGATGTTACGAACTGCAACCCTAACCATGTGCTCTGGATGATTGAAGAATTTGATAGCCTCTGTGTACAATGCAAAATCATTGGTGTGCTGGGAAATAAAATAAAAAATGTTAAAATGTGTTGAAGCAAAAATAAAATTTATTACAGTTTATCAAACTCTAAAGCCCCATTCACACCTGTGAATTGGGGCCGGAACTCCAAGTCTCACGAACTCATCCATGAGACTCATGTGCTCTCCTGTTGCTAGGAGGCGATGTATAACACAAGAGCAGTGGTCACCCCCCACAGATGTTGAAATGTATTTAGACAGGCTGCAATTACCTGCAGATGACAGGCACGTGGACACAGATAGTCTGCATTCAGGTGCAGTCATGCATGGGTAATCATAGGCTATTCACCTAATTGTAGGTGGTGGCACTTGTTATTGGATTATACAGAGCCTCCTGCTTGCAGGAGATTGCACAAGTCTCACATAGGAATTTATGAGACTCAGCGATCTGGCCCCATTTGCAGGTGAAAATGGGGCTTGATATATCATATCCTCTTTTTAAAAGCCATTTTCAAAAGGGGCTTAAACCTGTAAAATCATATCTTAAAGATGAGTTTACTCCTTATTGAGGCAATGTAAAATCATAGATGTAAGCATCAACCACACATTATTCTATTATTCATACTACACTACTAGAAATCTCTTTAAAAAGTGTACTTCAACTTTTGTAGCCACATAACTATTTTATATTTATTAAATGTTCTTATTCATATAGCACAACTTAAAAAAAATAGCCGCTTACACATTGCTTGCTCTATTTTGAAAGAAATGTTTCTCTAAACTGAATATTCCTCTGGAATACAAGGGGGCTAGGGAGGTTAATGTTTACCACAGTTAACCCTGCTCTGTACTGTCCTGGCAGATCTGACTACCAGTTGTAAACTATATTTGAACACTATAAGTTCTAACAAAGGTTTAACGTTCTAGATGCATTGTATGTTGCTGAGAGAACGGTCACAATGTCCCTAGTCTTTCTATGGGGGCAGTCAAAATTTTCTGTCATTTTGAAACTGTAGAGAGAAGCTTGGAGTCCGTCCAAAGACCTGCTTCACAGAAATTCAGGTGCTCCAGCTGGGTGTTCCAGCGCTACAGGAACAGCCAAATCACCCAAAGCTCAAAAGGATGTTGATCGGGAGACTACATTTTGACATCCAAGTCCCCGGCACCAAGAGGGTGCCCAGGACACCTTCCCTGACTGACAGGTTGGCATTCATCATGAGAATCCATGAAAAGACAGGAAGGAATTTTCCCCGACTTCTGAGCCACATTCTTGAAGTATTAAAGCGACACAAAACCCTCAGCTTTTTTCACCTTATACACATCTACACAATGAACATTCTCCAAGGCCACATCCATTTATGTTTTAAAATAAAGTCTTACTATTTGAATTAGGGATGCAACGATACAGGTTTTTCTGTATCAAGTATGAGCACCAATATTTTTTTTTTTGATACTCGCCCATGCTGAGTACCGATGCCGTGTGCCCCGATTATCAGGAAGTCGGTCCGCGGATCACGACCGTTGCCCGGCTTCATGATTGCCTGTGAAGCCGGTGTTCTAGCAAAAGAACACAGGCCTCACTTGCAGGGGCTGCCTGGCTTCCTGACCAATCAGGAAGCCTGGACGCGCAATATGATGCGACGCTCAGCTTCCTGATTGGAAAGGAAGCCAGCTCCATGCTCCCTTAGATCCCACTCTGACCAGAAGTTCTGGTATCGGAGGTAAGTATTGGAGCATTTGGGCGAGTACAACTACTCGCCCAAATACTCTGTATCGGTGCGTCCCTAATTTTAATCCCTTTAGAAAGTCCGCTGTGTTCGTTCCCGTGGCTCTTCTCTCCAGTCACACTTCCTGTCCTTTAGTAAGAGCCGTGCACATTGATTCTGGTCACATGCACATCCTTCTTTGCCTACAACTCCCATGCGGCAGAGAGTAATCATCCCTCACTGCACACAGCTGCCTCCTCCCCCTCTTCTCACTATACACACTGTGACAGTTTCACTGCTTGTTAACTCCTCTGCAATGCTCTGATCAATCACATTTGCAACAAATCTACAACAAACATCAAGTTCACCACAATCTACACAGAAAAACAATGTTATTTCAAATGTAGGAGCTGTATCCTCTGAGACTGTGTGACCAGATTCAGCATGTGAGCTGAAACTCAGAAGAAAATATGAGGCTGGTGACATCTCACATGCTGAACTTCCTCAGAAAGTTTGTGATCACAATCAGCTCACCCCACACTCCCTCCTTGGCAAGCCAGGAGGAGAGAAATCAAAGATCATATATTAGTGTGGGAGAGAAACATATCCTGTTGCTTAAGAAATCCCAGCTCCTTGCAGAGTCTAGAGGGGAGGATTTGTGAGTGGAGACTTAGAAAACACGCCCTCAGCATGTTGTAGTCCTTCACATGAATTAGCACAGAGGGTGGCTACTTTTCAGCACACATAGTGACCATGGAGAAGAAAAGTAGCCACCCTCTGGTAGGACGTTGTGGATGGAGAAAAATAAAATAGATTTTGGAGCATTAAGAGATGAACAATGACAAAAAGTTGCGCAGTAATTTATTATTTATCAAATAAAAGCTATTTTTATTATTTAATTTTTGAGTTTAGTGTCGCTTTAAGCCAGGGACAGCCTGGTCCTCGGTACCAGACAAATTGGTCTGTCCAAGGACTGGACTGATTTGTCCCATGGTGAAAGAATATTGTGTTGTAGGGGTCTGGAGAGAATCTGGGCAAATGGAAATACATCAAAGGAGGCTACCACCAACCCAGGACTCTCATTCAGAAGTAAAGAATCGGGCGACTAATGGACTGAATAATACAAGTCTGGGAGAGTTTATAATTTCTCCTGGGGAAAAAAACTCCAGCTTGTTCTGTGTCTAGGAGTAGACCTAGATATTTCAAGGGAAGATTTGATTCCAGCACTAATTTATGGAGGTGCAAGATCCAGCCAACCAACTGCAAGGTCTGGGCAGACAGGGCTATGTTGTCCACCAGAACTTGAGGCAAATGTTCCCTCAGTAGGAGGTCATCTAGCTACCCTACAACTGGATTATTACAAGAGCACAGCAAGGCTAGTACTAGAGCCAGCACCTTGATGAATGCCTGAGGTGCAAAAGATGAACCAAATATCAGAACCACACAACTAAAACTGCAGAGTCTTTACAGCAAAGAGTAGATATCAGCAGAGATACAGTGCTCGAAGGTCACTTCAGGAGGCGAGGGCACAATGATTCCACGCTGTAGACATCGGCCACATATGTAGACACGCTGCAAGCAGCACTGGAGTCATTAGTGGAGTACCTGGACCAGCAGGACTGTTCCCCATGTGTCTAGAACAAAGCAAAAAATCCATCCTGCTCTTTTTACACAATACCATGTATATCCAACAAAGAATGGCCAGCAAACCAAAAGTTGAGGACCTCTAATTTTTACTAAGGTCTTTACTGAAGTAAAGAGAGCATGGAGAACGCACAACATTCCACATAGTAGATGATGTAAGCACAGGATTAACCCTCTCATGGTGAAACTGGCAGAAGGCTGGGATTTTAACCCTTTCGCTGCCAAGCCCTCCGGAAAAAATTTCAAATCAGCTGGCCAAGCCATTTTTGCATTTTTTGCAATTTTTTCCTATTGATTTGATTTTCAGCTGCTGGGTTGCTAGCGTTTGTAAAAGACCCCCCAAACCATATATTTTCTGAAGCGCAGGCCCGGTAGAATAAAAAGATGGTGATACTAAATTTGTAGGCTCTGAGATAATTGCGCAAATGTTTCTCAAATGAATATTAAACCGATAAAAATACACCATTCGGGGGGCGTGGCCAGCGCTTGGGACGGATGGCTGCTTGAGGCCGAGCTCCGTGCCCGAGCAGACGGCGGACCGTAACAACCACCGCATCGGGACCCGGCATCATCTCCCCACTTACCCCGACCATCTCAGGGGCAGGTCCGGACATGTCCCGGAAGAAAAAATCCGCCGCCCGGCCGCAGAAAATGACGGCTTTCTTCAATCCATCGGGCCGTAAGCCGCAGCAAAATGGCGCCGGCCTGCAGCACTCCACGCCGATCACCTCCCACTTGGATGATAGAGGGGTCCGGGACTCGGATTATGACCACCGGCCTGAAGGTAAGAGCTACCCAGGCCCCGAGAAGCCTCCTAGACAGCCGCAGAGCCCACCATCCTCCCAGGCTTCACACAAGTCCTCATCGATCACCTCGGGCAGCCCAGAAAAAAATCGAGGCCGCGGCTTTCAGGCCTAGACCACCAGGGGGAGATAGGAGAGCCCTGCTCACCTGTCCAGGGATGCTACCAGAGAACTAGTGACACCTATTAACTCGTTCCCCACCGCAGACAAGCCTCTGTCGAATTCTACACTGAAGGATATGTTTGTGTCACTGCGCACCACTATCCACCTCTGACATGCAACAGCTTGCTAGGCAATTTAAAGCGGAAGTGCAAGAGGTGGTGGGCAGAGTCTCCCACATTGAGGAGAAGCTGGGGGAGTTCGCCTCTAATTTCAACGAATTAGTGGATGCTCATAATGACAGGGAAGACGACATAATATGGCTCAAGTCTAAAATGGCAGATTTGGAAGATCGTAATCGCAGAAACAATCTCAAGATCAGAGGCATTCCGGAGTCGGTTGGCCAACCTGAACTAACTGGATACGTTCAAACAATGTTCAAGGCGATCTTACCTACGCTCTCAGACTCTGAACTAGTTATTGATCGCATCCATAGACTGCCCAAACCGTCCCACCTGCCTGACAAGTTGCCACGGGACACTCTGATGCGCATCCACTTCTATCACATCAAGGACAAAATCATGAAAGCAGCCAGGCTTTCCTCCTTGCCATCGGACTATGCAAAACTACAGCTGTATGCGGACCTCTCGCAGCACACTCTCTCGCTCCGCCGGAAACTGCAGCCCATCACGGAGCCACTCAGGAACCAAAATATACACTACAAGTGGGGCTATCCAACCAAGCTTTTGATATCCATGGACGACACCACGTATTCCATAATCTCCCT